GTATCATCTGCATATTGGAGGTTGTTGATATTTCTTCCGGCAATCTTAATTCCGGTTTGGGATTCCTCCAGTCCTTCCGCATAATGTATTCTGCAAAGTTAAATAAGCAGGGAGACAATATACAGCCTTGTTGTACTCCTTTCCCAATTTTGAACCGATCAGTTGTTCCATATCCAGTTCTAACTGTTGCTTCCTGTCTCACATATAGGTTTCTCAGGAGATAGATAAGTTGGTCAGGCACTCCCATTTCTTTAAGAACTTGCCATAGTTTGCTGTGGTCGACACAGTCAAAGGCTTTTGCATAGTCAATGAAGCAGAAGTAGATATTTTTCTGGAACTCTCTGGCTTTCTCCATAATCCAGCGCAGGTTAGCAATTTGGTCTCTAGTTCCTCTGCCCTTTCGGAATCCAGCTTGTACTTCTGGGATTTCTCGGTCCACATACTGCTGAAGCCTACCTTGGAGGATTTTGAGCATAACCTTGCTAGCGTGTGAAATGAGTGCAATTGTATGGTAGTTGGAGCATTCTTAGGAACTGCCTTTCTTTGGGATTGGGATGTAGACTGATCTTTTCCAGACCTTTGGCCACTGTTGAGTTTTCCAAATAGCTTCAGTTATGGTATATAGCTCCTGCTATATACCATAACTGAAATGTTCAGTGATCTAGTTTGTATAACCACATCTCAGTTGAATGAACTTACATAAATATTGTGCCTGAAAACACTCCCTCTTACCTCCACCTAAGTGAAATTAATATACAGTACATTTAAGTTAAATGTAAGTTCCCCTTTCATCAAAATAATGGTCACCAGCTTTTGGACAAGCCAGGATCCTGCAACATGGTTTTAACTTAGTTTAAAATCCTGGATTATTCTGAACATAGTATGTAACTTTAAAACAAAACTATTTCTCTCCAGTAGAATTACTGCTTTATCATACTTCTTATCCAGACTAACTGAACAAAAGCTTTTTGTCAACTGAAAGCTTTGCTCAAATTTGACTTTTCTTGGAGAAAGACCTGAACGTAGCAAAAATTACAGAGGTTAAAATCCTATTTGCTAGTAGCATGTTGCACTATAGTAGGTCCACTGAATCACTGGTGTAAGTCAACCCCTCTGATTCAAATTGGCCTACTCTACTGGTAATTTAGTATGCTAAAGTCACAACTAGAGCAGGACCATTTGAATTAATGGAATTTATGGAGGAGTTTACTCACTAAATCCCCAATAGTTCTCTGGCATAATTTACTATACAAAGCTACAGAATTTCAGCTAGAATGTTTGAAGTTCAGAAATAATATTTAGTGCTTTTGGTGGAAGAATATGGTTAACAAAAAAGGAGGTGGTTGGGGTACTATGATGAATTGCTCTGTATTGGAAGAACAGAAAATTAACATGCAGCACAATCTTAAAGGTAATTTACTAACAATTTTTGAGAATTTGCTAAATATAAGCAGAACAGTACTACTATGCTCATAGTTAAATTCAATGTGGCATAAGAAATTAAATGCATCTCTCCCTTTTAAGTAATAATAATTTATATGCTGAGAATACATACACTGAAATACATTTGAAGATGCTACCAGTTTCATCCTCATCAAAGAATGTTTTATGCATCTGTGGAGCTCCTGGCTGCAGATCTATTGAAAAAAATCACAGTACATTTTGTTGACGTTCAATTACAAATATCACAGAAGACATACTGTATGCATACTCAGGTGTCCAGTCATATGTATAATGATCAATTTGCAGTAATGCGTGCATTAAGCCCTATCTATCCAGCATTTTTTCTTCCAGCTAAAAGGATGTTCATACATGTATATATACTAACTTTCAATACCTTACTAAAATAGAGCTACTGAAACAAGTGTACCAAAGTGTAAAATTAATTGCCATAACTTAGATATCAGACACTAAGGCTCAGGTAACACACTGACTCTGTAGTAAACATAAATAACATATTATAGCAACATAAATAATATATTATAGCTTTCCATAATTATCTAAATGCTCAATATTAAACAGTTTCTGATTGTGAACATAGACCCTTTGACAGATACTATTAACATAGAAGTATTTGTTTGATACAGATCCATTCTTTTTAAAAAAGTATAAACGTAATTCCTTAAAGCTTCTTCAGATAACTTACGAGACACTTTGCTCAGTGATGATTCTTTTAAATCTGAGGTATCCTGATCAGGACTTTGAACATACTGAACTTCAGGCTTTGACTAGAAATATAAAAGATTTTGAAACAGCATGAAGGATTTATACAATGTTAAAATCATGAAATATACTAAATTAAATGACACCCATTATGCCTTAATTTAGCATAATGAAAACAAACACAACAACTTTAAAACTGTAATACTGTCAAAAATATATCAGTTAGCTGATTGATTGACACCTGAATACCTAAAATTACTCCATTCCCTTTGAACTTTAATATTAGAATAAGTATACATGTACCTGGAATATCAATATTTTCCCATCATCCGCTTGAAGGTAGAAAGTCCATGAGGAGGAAATGAAGCTGTGGGCTGTTTCCATCATATCACTCCAGAATGATCTCACAAGCGTAAGGGGAAAGAGAAGATGCATCCTTGGCATTAAGGACATGAGCTGCAAACAAATAATTTCCCATCATGTATCAATATAATAGTGAACAAAATAAAACACAGCGGTCCAGCGAGCTCTTTGCTCCACAATCTGCATTTAAGTAAGAATGGAAAGACAAGCAATAACTGGATTTTATGAACAAGCTAATACTTACTTGCTCTCGCCTCAATTCTGCATATGGTAACTGATTCTGGCATCCAAGACGACAAGCATATTGTTCATCAGACTGAAATGTATATGCCTCAGTACATGCTGCAAATGAACATGAGTTCTTTCAGTTCTAAGGATCACATCTTCCCAATGAGCAACTTGCCTTTCTTTTAGGAGAAAGGCAGAGTGAAAATGTAATAAGCATCAACAGACTTTAACACAGAATACAACTTGACAGCAGAATACACCATGCTGTTATTATTTGATCCCATTTCCTGACACTCACTATTCTAACAAAATATACTGCTGGTGAGAAAATGGAGGTAAAATTAAGGTAGAACCCCATTTTAAATATTCAAACTCCATTAAAAGAAACACATGTGATTATTGAAATACTAAAAAGGGGCAAAACTGTTTGGTACACCCATTCATTTTCCTTAGGCTACTGATTTATGTGCTCTACTTTTCAGCGCTTAAGTTTCAGTTCTGCCATCTTCACTAGAATGCAGCCCAGAAAGTTATAACCAGAAAAATATGCTAGCTTCTCTTACCAGAATCACATTCCAGCTTGGTCCGATTCAAGTCAATCCCATCATCCGCAAACTGACAAATAGAGAATAGTCTACAACCTCTTTGACATGCATACAACTCTTCTTCCTGTAATTAAATATGAACAACTCAATACAACTATTTTAGCACACTTTTCTATCAACAGTGTTTTGAGTAGAGTATACATACAATAAAACAGCTTAAGTTCTACATTTTCTTTTTAAAAAAAGTTAAATAAAAGTTTACAATACAAAACTAAAATCCATATACTACTAACACATTAAAGTTACTTAATACACAAACACAAAATACTGGTGCATCCCTCACCCTAGGGACAATTATATCTTACATATCTTTACTTATAATCTTCCTTCTCCTTTATCCATCCCCCAACCCATTCCAAAAATATATATACTCACTGCCCATTTCCCCCTTTATCCTCTGTACATATATTTGCTTATAATCTTCCTTCTTCTTTATCCACCCCCAAAACCATTCCAAATATATATATATATACACTCACTGCCCATTTCCCCCTTTATCCTCTGTATCTAACAATACAGCTTTGATAAATTCTTCCCATATTTCATTTAATTTGTTAATATTTATCTCTCCATTCAAACTTAATTTCTGAAGTCAGCTGATAATTAACTGCTATATTCCATACTTATCTCATCCCATGGCCCCCAAGAGCTTGGGGTCCTGAGCCTTGGGATCCTTGGCAGAATCAGATTTTAAAAAAAAATATTAAAAATTGCCATGTGGCAGAAGTAATGAACATGATTTCTACTGCCAAATTTAAACTACATTCTAGTAACTGCAATATCATCTGCAATCTGTTTCTGATGCCACTTCAGTGTTAGTTCTAACATTTAAAACTTTGAAAGCCAGGGACCAAACTATCTTAAACACCATCTTCTTCCATATGAACTTAATTGTTCCCTAAGGTCATTGGATAGGATCCTGATCAGCACCAAGAAGGGTGACAGCTCAGATGGTAGAGCACAGATTTCATGACAAAGGACCCAAGTTACTTACAATGACAATGACAACGACAATAACAATCATCATCATCATCATCATATAGATTTCATGACAAAGGACCCAAGTTGAACCCTTGGTGTCCCCACACTGGGATGGGGAAGATTCCTGCCACAAATCATGAGCAGTTGCTCCAGGCCACTAAAGTCAATGAAACAGTGTCCTGAGGTTGAATAGAACAGCTTCTGTTCACCACTATCTGAGGTAAGGCAGGTGAATATTTAGGAAGAAACCTTGTCAGTCAAACAGTCCAAGCTCTAGTGTGCATTTTCCCATTAAGTTTGCTTTTTTGACTTTCTTGAGGTCCATCACTGTGTGAAGTCTCTCTCATTCCAGTTGGGCATGTTTAAAAAAATACAATGTCAATGATATTTCTTGTGTATCTTGCTAGCTCTATACTAAATGTCTTACTTTTTGAAGTGGTTTTAGATATTAGAGATTTTGGTAATGTTACTTTAGGCTTAATGTAACAAACTTTTTTGACTCATTCCTTGGGTGCTTTTTGTGAAACAGAAAAGCATGGCATACTTATTTTAATACTAGTGTACTGACTTTTCATCTTCTTACATCCTTTGCACAGGACAGACACCAGAATTACATCTTTGCCCAAAGGAAAATAAATCCCTGCCAAATAAGCAAAAGCAAGTGGAGCATACAAGATACTCCAGATCCAAGAAGAAAGTACTATAATGATAGGTGACAGGTCTTGGTCACGAAGATTACATTCAAGGATACAAAGGTCCTATATGCCAACCTTGAAGAGTACTGTCTCTGCTCTATCAATGTCAAGAGGTTTATTCTGCAAGCTAAATATTTTACTAATGAACACTGACCTTTACTTCCTTAGACAGCAACCAGAAAATGGACAGAAAATATACATTCCAAATAGGCAGTTCCAGTGAGATTCTGCCATAATAGAATTGTTTCTGCATGGCTATAATGTAGTAAATAGGTAATCAAATACCACATAGAAGAAGAAAAAATGGAATTCATCTCTTGATATGATTCGGTAGACATTTTGTATGCACGGAAGAAAAACAAAAGTTTATAGGCATATCAGTCTTTTACAGACAGAAGAGCTAACTGTAATGCATGGGTGGGGGGAGTTTAGGAAGGATATTAAGGAGCATTTTTGCAGGAAGTGCCTGGTCTGGTTTATTATCATTATTGCTATTCTGAACTTGGCATAATTCATCCACTCAAGGACCATCAACATTGAGAAAAAGGCCTTATTTTATTAGGCATGAGGAAGCCAGCCTGGACCATTCACAACTAGAGAACAAAGAACTATAAGGTGTCCGATTCTGCATCTGATACCAAAAAGAACACACATTTTCAAACACCAAGTTGTCCTTATTAAAGTTTAAGAGGAGGAGATGATATATTGCTGCATTCAATTCCAAGCCCTTTTGAGGACCACAGGGTCAAGCAAACAATACATGAAATTTCTGTTTCTTAATCAAAGCAAAAGCAGCAAAAGGTCTCCCGACACACTGAATATTAACCAATTCTATTTGGCACAAACTTGCACGGATTACAAGGGGCTCGATGCACCTTATGCAGGGGACTGTGCTCTACAAGAGCTTGTGCCAAATAATATTTTTTAGGTCTTTCAAGGTGCCAGAAGACTTTTCGAAAATTCTTGCTGCAACAGAGTACCTGATTCCGGAAATAAACATATGGTTCTCAAACCGAGGTCCCCAAGTGTTCTTGGACTGCAATTCCCAGAAGCCTTCATCCCTTGCTGTGCTGGCCCGGATTTCTGGGAGCTGCCGTCCAAGAACATCTGGAGACCCCAGTTTGAGGACTTCCCATACAGAAGAATTAAAAAAAATAAAGAACAGGAGAGGGCAAATCCCCTAAGAGGAGGAGGGATGGCGCAGAGCGCCTTGCACGGAGCGCGACGCGTCGGGGAGTGAAGCCGTGGTCTCTCCTCTGTTACCTTCGGGTACGTATGGAGCGGGTAGGTGCTCTGGCAGGTCCTCTGACACGACGCAGTATTTCCCAGGGCCGGCTCAAAAGCCTCCGAGAGAGAATCGGGCGCAGGCTCGGCATCGCCCCAAGCGACCTGAGGGCCCAGCGCGAACAAGAGGAGATAAGACCCGAGCTCCCAGAAGCTCCACCGCCCCGCCGCCATCTTGTCTCCAAGACGAACCCGACCACTGTTTATTTTGAGGTTGTTTTTTTTTCCCACTGTATTCAGTGAAGACAGTGGGACTAGTTTATTTTGTTCTTTTCTTCTTAAACCGAGGTCCCCAAGTGTTCTTGGACTGCAATTCCCAGAAGCCTTCATCCCTTGCTGTGCTGGCCCGGATTTCTGGGAGTTGCCGTCCAAGAACATCTGGAGACCCCAGTTTGAGAACGTCCCATACAAAAGAATTTTAAAAAAATAAAGAACAGGAGAGGGCAAACCCCCTAAGAGGAGGAGGGATGGCGCAGAGCGCCTTGCACGGAGCGCGACGCGTCGGGGAGTGAAGCCGTGGTCTCTCCTCTGTTACATTCGG